TATAATTGGAAAGATGAGTGATTGGCTAGATTTAATTTATATAATGATCTGCATTATTTACTTGTTTACATTTTTTTTAACCAATCAAATCGAATGTCCGCCATGCTGATATTTGGCACGTATTGCAACCTAACAGATAGATATTGCATCCGATAGGCCTATTAGACATCTGATACTTCTATAGTAAAATATGGGATATTTTAATAAAAGTGTCAGATCTCTAATATGCCTATCGGATGAATATTTATTCGATGCGCCAAATATTGGGTAGCTGTCAGCTTTATAAACGTCTGAGATTTCATTAGTATCTCACAGAATCTTGCCAAAATTTGAAATTCGACCTGTGATATATACTGGATATTATTGTAATTAATAAACCAGACTATTTGACCAATTTGACCAGAGACCCCTTGACCAACAAATTTTGGTTGACTAACAGATTTGACCAACTCTGAATCTGATTGGTTATCAACTCTCAAAATTTTATTGGATGATTAGGGTAAATGTCCTATAAGAAAATACAATCTGTTATAAGAAAACTTGCAATGAATCTGATTTTACCAGATTGAAATTTGCCAGAAGCAAGTAACGGCAGAAAATAAAATATCTTTAAAATTTTGTTAGTTGTTTATTATGCACATTTGTTATTTCCTATTTGAAAGTAACAAAATTTACATAATAAACAGTATGAAACTTTAAAGAAATTTTGTTCTTCGATGTTATTTGATATAATCAGATTCGTTGGCGAGTTTCTTATAACCAATTGTATTTTCATATAGGACGTTTACTCATGACTTCGGATAAGCATTTATTTATTAACAAATCTTGAATATATTTTCATACTAAATTAATAACCCTGACTATCATCTTTATATCGTAATACTAGTTTTGCCGGCATTACCCAAATTCATCTCAAAATAATGCACAGGTGGAGTTATTTTGCGGTAATACTCTATAGGATTAAAAGCTTTTTCTACATACATAGGTTTATTTTATTTATTTTTTTGGTAATATTAATTATATTACCGTTACTTTTTATGTACTGTATTTAATAATCACTGATTTAGCTTTTGAGATATTATCATTAGTTTTTAGCTATATAGAATATTTTTTAGACTTTGTTAATTTTAGTCATATTATTCATGGTTTAAATTCGTAATATGCGAAAATTTTTAATATACAAATCCAATTGTGCAAGGCAAAGTTGGTATGTACATACTACTTCTATATAATCGTTTATGTATTACAAGGACTATAAAAATAGCCAGATATAGCCAGATGATTTGTTATCAGAGTAGAATACATTCACATTTTTTTGCAATGTCGTCCTCCATCGTGAATGATGAATATACACTTCAGAGTCAGAACCAACAAGATTTGTTATGATGCTATTCTCAATACATTGTTTCCAATCCTTTTAATAAAATTTCTTGATTTCCAATGGAATAAAAATGAAATGATGATGAAAAGAACATTTATGGAACTTAAAGATAAAGAAAAAGTAATAATAAAAAAAACGGTACAAGATATTCAGGATGCTGTGGATGAAGATAAGCTAAAAGAAGAATATGAAAAAGCTAAAATTAGCGAGTTATACAAACAAAATAAGAGTAAAACCATTATTGAGAACCTGTACAAAAGAAAAAATGTCTGTTTCAGAATTGATAAGTGTTGGAATATTTCTAAGAAAAATAAACAAGTACTTAAGATGCTCTCAACAAATTAATTCCTAATACTATAGAAGTTGATGACAACGATAATAGGGTTTATGAAGATTTTGAAATAAAGGTAGAAGAGTATAAAAAATAAATTTTAAATAAAAAAGAAATTTTAGATAAAAAAGAAATTTTAGAATTGGAAGATAGTAATAATGATAGTGAAGATTTTGAAATAAAGTTAAATTTAGATGAAGACGAATTGGAAGATAATGATGATGATAATGAAGATTTTGAAATAAAATTAGAAGAGGATAAAAAAGAAGTTTTAGATAAAAAAGAAAATTTAAAAATATTAAACCAAATATTAAATGAAATAGACGAAATATTGAAGGAAATTAAAAAAGGAAGAAAGGCATATTTTAAGATAAGTCAGGTGTCGACATTTAGGTCGCTCTCAAGCACCTCAATCAATGATAAAAAGGTGTCTATGAATAAATTTTACTTAGCGGAAATATTTAAAATTAATTAAGCGTGTTTATCATTACGATGAATATGCGTAAATTAATAAAGTTTATTACGTAATAAC